CAGGAGAAATTCTGAGCAAGGGAGAAGGGGGTATATAGAAACTTCCTAGACCATCTGCTCAATCATGTATAAACCTAAACCTGCTCTAACAAAACAAAGTCTATTAATTTTTAATTTTTTATTAATTTTTTATTTTTTAAAATTTTAATAGATTTTATTTATTTATTTGAAAGAGAGAGAGCATGCACGTGCCAGTGGGGAGAAGAGCAGAAGGTGAGGGAGAAGGAGGGGGAAAGAATCTTCAAGCAGACTCCATGCTTAGCACGGAGCCCCACCAGGGGCTGGATCGCACCACCCTGAGATCATGAGCTGAGCCAAAACCAAGTTGGATGCTTAACCAACTAAGCCACCCAGGTTCCCCTTTTATTAATTTTTCTTTAAAAAGGAAAGGTAAAGAAATTTAAAAAGTCAACGACATTGGTTGTAATAAACTGGTCAATGAAAAATTTGATGAAACATTTAATGCAAGGAACTTAGGTATACAAAAAATCTAATATAAATCATCATTTAATAGTCCATGTTTGATCAGAACTGTCTACCTAGAGACCATACCAGAAGAAGCTATGATCTCCATAAAATAAGAAAGACTTTACTGATGTCAACCATGGGCAGATATGGATATGAAAGATAACGCTACATACTTTTAAAAAACAGGGACTTCCTGAGGTCTTGTTTTATTTTCCCAAAACTTACTCTATCTGAACTTTGAAATTTCTTCATGGCTTTGTCTAGATAGCAAAAGCAGTCTAAGATGCCCATGAAGAAATAAAGGTAGAAGTAATTATGTCAATTTAAGCTACGTTAGCCAGAGTTTTTGCAGAGGAGACAGGCTGGCCTTTATTTTGTCATTTATCCCTTGTATGTATGTTTTTCATTTTATACTTCTGTGAAAGTTACTCCCTTGCATGATATCAGTTTCCAAATAGTGTTCAGAATCTTTCAGTCTGACCGCTCCGTGACAAGCAGGAGGAGACAAGGGAGCAGACTCCATTCCAAAACCAAGTTTTGTGTCTAAAATTCTTATCTTAAATTTTATAGAGCTATTATTATTCATACATCTGTGATAAGAAACTTACATATTAAATTATGTTTTAAACCGTAGGTGCAGAATAGTGACACTTTTAGATTTAGTTCAGTCTCTTCTTTCTATGAAACACATATCAGAGAAAACACAGACTCTATCAAAAGCCAGTTCTCAAGTCTTGGGATTTTGAATCCATTACTCTTTTATAAAAATATACAATCTTTATATGATGTATAGACCTTACAGACATCTTATTCTGCTAGGTAAGGAATGAGTGTGCCCTATACCAGCTGACTGTAACCGTACCTCTGGAGTCTGGCCTTCCCATCTGCAAAAGCCAGAACCTGGGATATACTATTTTAATAAATATGTTTTTAAATTACTATAAAAGTAACATGCAATCATTGTAGAAAGTTTAGCAGGAGAAGCAGGAGGAGGAGTGGGAGGAGTTGGAAGAAGGGTAGAGAGGGAGGAAGGAAGGGAAGAAAGGAGAAAAGAAGAAAAATCATTTACAACCTCATCACTCTGAGGTAAGGAAGGTACACATTTTAGAGCTTACCATGGATGATTTCTAATATTCCACAAACCCCGTCACTTGCCTTTTTCTACTTAGCATCTCTCCGTGGGAAGCAGTGTAGCTAGAAATAGAAGGTAGCAGAAACTTGTACCTAGTGGACAAAGGCACGAGCTCTGGAACTAGACAGCCTGGTTCGCATCCTGCATCAGCTCTTTAGCTGGGCGACCTGGAGCAGACCACTCTGCCTCTCTGTTTCCTCAGAGAGGAAATTTATAAAATGGTGATAATAGTAGTAATTATTTCTTCATAGGGTTCATTGTGAGGATTCAATGGCTTAATATTTCTAAACCACTACCCAGGACAAAAGTATACTCTACTATAAAAGGACAATAGTAAAGAACTAGAAAGTAACTATTTTAGGCTTTACTGGGGCATATGGTTTCTGTTGGAACTCCTCCATGCTGCCTTTTGAGAACAAAAGCAGCCATAAATGAGTGAGTATAGCTGGGTTCCAATTAAACTCAATGAACAAATGGAGTACCTGGGTGGCTCAGTGGGTTGGGTGTCTGCCTTAGGCTCCAGTCCTGATCTTGAGATCCTGCGATCAAGCCCTGCATTAGGCTCCTGCTCACAGGGGAGTCTTCTTCTCCCTCTCCCCCTGCTTGTCTCTCTCTTAAATAAATAAGATCTTAAAAAAAAATAAACTCAGTGGACATTGAGTTTGAATTTCATATAATACTCACACATCATGACATATTATTCTTTTGATTTTTTTTGACCGATAAAAAATGTAAAAGTCGTATTAGCTCTTGGGCTATGCAAAAATGGATAGTGGGCTGGGCCTTTAGACCACAGATCACCAGCCTCTGTTCTATATAATTAGTTGACATTATTATATTTCTAATATTTCTCCAAAAAATTTTTAAGTAGACTCCAATCCCAACATAGGGCTCTAACTCTTGATTGCAAAGTCAAGAATGGCAGGTTCTACTGATTGAGCCAACCAGCCGCCCCTCTACAGCTTTTTTTTTTTTTTCTTTTCCTGCTTAGAACAAGGTTGTTTGAATGTTCTATAACTTGCTTATTCGCCTATGGTTAGAATTTAGGTTATTTCCAGTGTTCTTTATTATAAGCCATTCTCCAATGCATATCCATGCAGAATCTTTGCGCACATATGTTATTGTATCTACATCTTTAAATGTACTTAGCAGTAGCTACCAAATGGCTGGCAGAGTATCTAGAAAGAAACAGACTCTGAAGAAGTAGCCTTGAAAATGAACCTTGAGTAGTTATAACAAATTTCAAACACGTTAGAGAAGGAGGTTTATCAGTATAATATATATTCATATACATAGAACTCACTACGTACAACATCCCATTCTAAGCCTCTTGCATAGATTAAATCATCTAGTCCTCAAAGCACTCTAATGAGGCACAGGTGTAATCATCATCATCGTCATTACCATCCCCAAGGTACAAAAGAGGAAACAGAAGCACAGAAAAGCTAAGTAACTTTCCAAGGTCACACAGCTAGCTGGTGCCCAAGGCCGGTTTCAAACCCAGCCTGTCCGGCCCTAGGCCACATGTTCTTGAACACGGTGTTGTCCTGCCTCTTTTTGGAGAGACTTGGCAAGTGTGCACTTCCGGGTACCCACCTTGTAATGTACCTGTCGTCTTTTTCGTGTTGGGATCATGTTTGGCACGCACCATCAACCTCATACTCTAATAAGCGGCACAAATTGTATCCCACGATGGGACATTTCGAGTGTAAACTGAATGTCCATCTAATCTCCTTCCTCTTTTGTCCTCCAGCCCTTCCCCCCAGAGCCAACTCTTCATTAATTCGCACTGCATTTCTTACCCCAAATAGGTGTCCTCTGTGAAAAGTAAAGATTGATTGGAGCACACTTTCGTATCTCGGTTTCCAACTCAGGGTACCAAATCTACCAAATTCACTTGGCAATTTCGGGTGGAGCTTCGCTTAAAGTGAAGGGCACTGAACCGCCATGCGAATGCAAATTTCGGATAAGCGCCCTCCTTCTTTGAAAACGAACAGGGCTTGGGTCAAAAGTCCGTCCCGCGCGGCCCAGCCCCCACAGGGCGGGCTTCCTCCGACCCCTAGCCGGTTCCCGAGGGTGGTGTCCTGCGTCGGTGCGAGCCAGCCAGCCTCCGCCGCAAGGGCTCCGAAGCGGAGCTGCGCGCTCTCCCGGCCCTTCCTGCTGGTGCTGAGAGGCGAGTGGGTGTCCCAAAGAGGAGTTACGAGAGTGGGTCCTTCGACTTTGAGGGGAATGAAATTCTAGTTCTCATTTTTATCCTGCTTTCTTTCCCTGCCGGGGTCCTACCTCTGGAGTTAGCCCCATGGAGAGGAGCCACCAACGACGCGGGTCCTAGGATGTTGCCCGCCCCCCACCGATGCCCAAACAAGGACAGAATCGAGAAGTAGAGAGGAAACGGGGAAAGAAAAAAGCGGGTGTTTCAAACTGATCACCGCGGTGCAGACGCGGCGGTCGCGCCGGAGCAGCGGGGCCGCGAGGCGCACCGAGACCCGGGGCTCCGCCCGCCGGGGGGCGCCGGGGCGGCGGGCGCCTGCGCGTTGCAGCCCCAGCCCCGGCAGCCACCGTCGCGATGCCTATTTTAGTCAAAGCCGCTGCCGGCGCGGGGACCCGGCACCGGCCAAGGAGGCTCCGGACCCGCGATCCAGGGAGGCTTTCGCCTGGGGCGCCCGTCGAGCCGCCGCGTCGCTGTCCCCGCGCCCTGCCACTGTCGCCCCAAACTTTGGCCAGCGCCTCCCGGGTTCGGTGCCAGGGACAAGCCAGGTAAGGAGCGGGAGGCGTAGCTGCCGGCGGCTCCCCCCGCGCGCCCGGCTATTTGCAGCCTCGGGCTCCCGGGGCTAAATCGGGAAGCGAAAGTTGGATCGCCGCTCCGCTGGGAGCAACTTTGTCAGCCCCGCCGCGGCTGCGGGTTCTTCACGCCCCGGCCGCGGGAGTCCTGCCCTCTCCTCCCTGGCCGAGCCGTCGCCCTCGCTGGCTTCCCTGCTCTTGGAAGCCGCCTTCCTCCCGTGTCTGGGGTCCACGTCCCAGACCCTCAGGCGTCGGCAGCTGCAGCACCGGTCTGGGAGCGCCAGCGTCCCCGGGCGCTCCAGCCCCACTTGGGGGCTGGTTCCCGCGCTCTGCCTGGGGCAAGCCCTTGGTAGGCTCGGCATCTCCTCGTCTGGCTGGACGCCCGGGGCTCCTGGCCCCTAAACCGCTAAGGCTCCACCTCGCCCGCTGTAGGGCCGCCCGGGGCTCCTGCGGAGGCTGCGCGCAGCGCGGCGCACTGTGTGGCCTGCCCAGGGCGGGCGCTGGGATTGCCAGGAACTGCACGGGGCTCACCGCAGACCCCTCATGGCCCGAGTCTTCCGGCCAAAGGCAACAATACTAGACACTGATCATCTTTTAAGGAGCGAGGTGAGCGGGTTCCCTGGGGAGAACGGATGGCTGGGGACCCCGTGAACCTCGCCGCCCGCCCGCGCCCTGGTTTCTGAGGCTTTGGGAAACGTGTTGTTGGCCAGACACGTCCCAGAAACTGCTTGCTTTGAAACAAGAATAAGTGCGAAAAGACTCTTGGCAACGTCATGCCCTTTGCCATTCCGCGGAGGAGCGAAGCTTTGGGCCGATTTACAGAATGAATCAAGTCTGCCAGCAGGACTTTTGCTCATTGCTGCCTTTTCATTTTTGTAATTTGGTAAAGGGTTAATGTTAGTTTCACCGTGTAGCTATTTAATCCTTCAGACACCTATTTGGAAACAAATAGATAAACGGGACTTTACGAGACCAGGTAATTAAAAGAATTAGACCCTGAAGAACTAATAGAACGAAAATTTCTCTTGATTCAGTCAAAATTAACCTGAGCGTTAACCAGTTTTTTAGTCTAGCCTTCCTCCTTAGACTCACTGTCTGTATAAAGATAGTTCAGTGTAAACGACTTAAATCCATTGAAAGTGATCAAAGGGATCTGAAACTGGTAAGGTCCAGTCAGGATTATTGGCAATAGGTAACTGGCATTTCAAAATTGGCATGGAGATAATCCACATAGATAAATAATAGATATACAAATAAATAAAAAATTATATAATAAATGTATTATACAGTGTTAGCTATTCTACAAGCTAAATGCATATAGAAAATAAAATAGATATGTATTTAAATACTTATACCCTTAATAAGGTGTTGTTCATCAAAATATGTTGTAGGATGATCCCACCTCTTAAAGATTCCTATTGCTATTTCCCTGGTTCTTGTGTCAGTAGATTGTGGTTTTCCCCTCATTTCTCTTAGAGCAGATGTTGGTACCTTTAGTGCCACTTGAAGAACTTTTAATAAAAAGCCTGATATTGAGCTAGAGTGGATTAGTTGGCAATACGGGTGCCATTGGGTGGAATATATATGAACTTATTATATATATATGTATTGGAGCCTCAAGCTATTAAAACTTGAAGGGGTTTCAAAGACCATCTAGTCCCACCACCTCTATTCCCAGGAAGAAGCAGACACAAGGAGTGGAAGTCACTTTCCTTGACTTGCGTGGCTCCCCCTGGGCTTTTGGTCTAGAAACTGACTTTCTTAGTCCCAGGAATGCTGGGCACTTTCCTGTCTTTACTACAAAGGTTTGGGGAGACTGAAAGTGACTTCTAAAAATGTTTGTCGTGTCTGTGTCCCTTCCGTATGGCTTTCAACTCTAGCATTCTCTGCAGAGTGTAGGCCTTGGGTATATATAGATGGCTATGACATTGTCTGTGCCTCATAGAGAACACAGGATAGTTAGAAAAGCAAATAGGACACATTCTAAAATGCCATAGAAATGTAGTTAGTTTAGGTAATGCTAATGCATAAGCTGACACTGACACTAGTTTATGAGTGAGAGAGGTCCTTGAATATCATTCTCCCTCCTGCAGAAATTACAGGATTAATTCTCATTTGGTCCTTGAGAGCAAACTTTGCATAAATGGAGTTATTCAAATAATGATACCTCTCACCCCAATAAGCTTGTAGTTTTATTGATTTAAAAATTTGGAAAGTAGCTGAATTTATGTAGTTTCCTTGTTGCGGAAAATCAATATCTATGTCAACTATTTATCTTATATTTATCAACTATTTCAGAATTATATGAAGAGAGCTTTAATTGCCTTGACCATTTCACTCACAGTTTGTAATGCATAAATGTTTTTATCATCTTAAGAGATGTAGAATTCTTTTGGATTTGTCTAATAATATCCTTTCAAAATGCCCAATCTGTACCAATTATTCTACCACTTAAAACCTTTACTTTGATATGGTGGGGGGGATGAATAGAAAAGTAAGTTAACTGTGTGATCTTATTATGGAAAGACATTATTAGATTAAATTTAAAGATATTTTTTGTCCCAATTTGGATTTCTTTTTCTGAAACAGAATAATTCATATAATCTGAAAACCTACGTGGTTTTTGTTAGGGACCAATTTGTATAATTAATAATAGAGTTTTTTAAGTACTAGAGATGGAGGACAGGTAATTTAGTTAGGAAATGGTGCCACTTTGTGTTAAGGTTTAGATAAGCATGTGCAAAATGTGTACTCTTTGAACTGTAGTTGCTACAGATTTTAATATGAAATAGTTGAACATATATTCATTACCTCTCCTACATATAAGTAAACCACAAGTTTACTACTTTGTAATTTGTAACATTGCTACCTAGTGGAGTTTTTATGGGAATGAAAGTATAGATTTAAATTAGACAATGAAAGGAAGAGTTAATTTTATATCTCCCTGTGTATATATAAATGATTAGTAATGTATTTATTATGTGTATATATGATAATATAGAATGTATATGTCTATGATGCAATGATCTAATGACAGTATATAACTAGAGCCTTCTAAATATACTAAACTTTCAAGTAGTAAATATGAGAAGGTTAATTTTTTTTACATACTTAAATAATCAGTTTTTCCTGTTATTTTTTCTGTGTTTGGATTCAGTGTCATAGTGGGAATGTGATGGAAGACTTTGTAATTGCTGTGGCTTATGAACATTGGTGGTTTTCTTTTAGACTCATTAATTTCTCATTCCTCTCTCCCCCACCATGTATGTCTATATAGATATATGTATTAGTGAATAGTTGTATACTATGCTAAATATTCTATATATTTTATTTCATTTCATTTCATTAGAAAGTCAAATGAGGTATTATTATCATCATTTAACAGATAAAGTAGTAACACTTAATATGTGACTGGTTGGAGTCGAACCTGGTTCTAATTCTTAAGCACCAGAAAAGTCTATCTACCAACATTTAGTTCACAGAAATCATTTTGAAACAATACATATTGGGATAGAAAGAGACAGCTGCCATTTTTATGATTGTCCTTTTGTGTCTTTGTTTTTACAGGGATTTTCAAGATGAATTATACCGAGTCCAGCCCATTGACAGAATCGATTACAATAGGTTTTACACCTGAGTTAGAAAGGATCATACCTGTGCCTTCCAATGAGACCACATGCGAAAACTGGAGAGAGATACATCACCTCGTTTTTCATGTAGCAAATATTTTTTTCACGATTGGGTTGGTTATTCCAACCACCCTTCACCTTCATATGATACTCCTTAGGGCAATGTTATCTATAGGTAAGATTCCTAATCGAGACCTTTGTAACTTCTCTGGAACTGGCATCCGATGGGCTTTCTGTTGGGGGCTTCAGGGCATCTCTTGTCAGGTATGTAGCATACCAAAAATACAGGTCTCTGTCAGCAAATTGGCAGCATGTCAATCAAGTAACTTGTAACGTAGGCCTTTACATGCCCTTATTTATTTTAGGTAAGACCGTGTGTGTTTTCTATATTGTTTAGATTTTCTAGATATCAGAAAATCCATTTGTATGTCTGAGTGTGTGATCCAAATCCTGGTTCTACCACTTGCCAACTGTGTAACTGGGGCAGATGATTGAAATTTTCTGCTCCTCAGTTTTCCCATGTGTCAAAGGAGCACAAAAATAATACCACCTCTTAGGGTTGTTGTAAGAATTAAATGAGTGTGTGTGTGTGTGTATGTGCGCGTGCATGTGTACACACACATATGTGTGATATTTGACTTCTAATAGCGCCTGGCACATGGTAAGCCCTATGCAGTCTTAACCACTGTTGTTTCAGTAGGTTTCTTATGGCCCATAATGTGACACTGGAAACAAAAGCAATTTCCCAGACACAGTAGTTCAAGGAAAACTTTTTGAGGGCTCCAGTAATCCTGATGAAGCAAGTCAAATGGATTCACATCAAAATGCCAGAACAATTGAATGAATTATTTTAGCCAGTGATTCTTGACAAATTACTCTCTATGTGATTGTTTCTTTGGTGGTTTATGTATTCAGGTATATTTTTGAGCACCTATAAGTTCTCAGGCAAAGACTGAAGAAGGAAGGGGAGCCTGGGTGACTCAGTCTGTTAAGCGTCTGCCTTCAGCTCAGGTCATGATCCCAGGATCCTGGGATCGAGCCCTGCATTGGGCTCCTTGCTCAGCTGGGAGCCAGATTCTCCCCTGCCTGCCGTTCTCCCTCCTTGTGCTCTCTGCCCCTCCCTCCCTCCCGCTGGATCTCTCTGTCGAATAAATAAATAAAATATTAAAAAAAAAAAAAGACTGAAGAAGGCAGGGTCCATCTTTGAAAAGGATACTTTTCGTGGGGGCTGGAGAGAAACAGATGGGCAGTCACGTGTGAGGTGCTAGATGCTATGTTGTCAGTGTGCACCCAGGGCTGGGGAGAAATGGAGAGGGTGACAGGCCCAGCAGGAAGGCGGAACAAGGTCACGCTGAGAGGATGACACTGGTGCTGGCTTTTGGAAGCTGAACAGGATTTCTCCAAGTGTGAGTGTGTACGGTATCCAGGTAAAAGGCACAGAGGAGAGGGAAATTCAGCATAATGAGGGAGGATGGAGAGTAGCTCATTATGCCTGGGATACATGAAGAATTACAAGGAATGGTCAAAGTCAAGCCTGGAAGTGAGAGGCTTCCAGTTATGGAATGAATAAGTTATGGGAATAAAAGGCACAGCATAGGGAATAGTCAGTGATAACTATAATAGCATTGTGTGGTGACAGATGGGAGCTGCACTTGTGGTGAGCTTAGCATAATGTAGAGAGAAGTTTAATGCATGGGTTATACACCTGAAACTAAAGTAACATTATGTTTCAATTATACTCAAAATGAATAAATAAGTAGATAGATAGATAGATAGATAAAATAAAGGGCTGGAAGGGAAGCAAGATGGTAGCTTATGGATTTCTGCGTTACCTCTGAGTAAGGCAGGGATTGCAGCAGGCATTACACAGTGTTGAATGAAAAACTAAGCAAAACCAAGCCATACCCTATGAAAAGGCAAAGGCTAATTATAAGTTTTTTAAAGATTTTATTTATTTGAGAGAGAGAGAACACGTGCACAGGAGCAGGAGCAGGGGAGGGGCAATGGCAGAGGGAGAAGCAGACTCCCTGTTGAGCAGGGAGCTCAAGGAGGACCCGATCCCAGGATCCCAAGATCATGACCTGAGCCGAAGGCAGACACTTCACCGACTGAGCCACCCAGGCACTCCGCTAATTATAAATTTTAAGACACAGTTTTAGAGGTAGGATGGACCAAGGAAATCATCTAATCTGACCAAGAAGAAACCTGGAGAATTTAAATGACTCATCCAAAATTAAGACTGCGAGAATGTGGCCAAACCAGGACTATAATTCAGGTCCTCGTGTTCCCAGTCAGTCAAAGCATTATTTTTCCCTATCCTCTTTAAGTAATAATTTTTAAAATTCCACAAAATTTGCTATGAAATGTTATTTTAAAAACTTACGAAGTTTTACATTTTGGTCTACTCAGATGCCCCAGATCATTCTGATGAAATAAAAATTGCAAATGGATAAGTTTTTAATGTGGGAGGTTAGCTTTTATGTGCATATATAGTTGATATATTTGTATCATATTGATCATTTTATTATAAGTTAAAAATATATATGGACTCTCCCACCATAAATGGATCAAAAGAAACTGGAACATATTTCCTAAAGTGAGAGAATTGATTAAAAAAAAAAAAAAGGCAAGATTTCCAGAGGTAAATGGAAAATCATCAAATGAAAAATTCAAATGGGTAGGAAATCTTGGTAAAATATGCAGGCTCACCAATGATCATGGAAATGCAAAACAAAATAAAACTTCAGTATCAAATTAAGAGCTTTCAAATTTTGTAATATTAAGAACTTGATAGTGGCATTCCCAACTAGTAGGATTACAAATATCTATATACCTTTGGGAAAAAATTCTTCAGTCTCATCAAAAGCTATAAAGTTCATTTCTTTGACTTACTGTCAGGTAATCCACCCTAAAGAAATAGTCAGAAAAACATTAATTCTTAATGTATAAAGGTGTTTTGGTGATGTATCAAAAATTACATGCAAAAAATCTCATCTGTTTACCAATTGGGAAATGGTTAGATAAATTAGGGTTTAATCAGTTACAGTCATTAAAAACTATGTACGTGAAGAGTTTTAACAAAATAGGGAGATTACCACAATAAGTAAAAGAAGTAAGAGTGGGTTTTAAAATTTTGTATACCGTAGGTTTGCCATCAGGTAAAAATGCATCAAGACTGTAAGGAAGTATTAAGTATCAACAGTAGTAGAATTGTGTTTTTTTTTTCTCCTATAAAAAATATTTTCTACATAAATTTTCTGCAACAAAACATGTTTTTCTTTTGTAGTAATAAGACAAAAAAACAAAATGGAGCTTAATATAATGCTTGGCTTAGGTGTTTCTTTTTTTTTAAGAGACCGAGAAAGAGAATGCAGACGTGTGTGTATGCACAAGCAGGATGAAGGGTAGAGGGAGACGGAGAGAGATAAAGATGGGCTTCCAAGCAGGGCCTGGCCCAGTGTGGAGGGAAGGTGGGGGGAAGTGCAGAGGTGGGAGGGTACAGGGGTGGCTTGATCTCAGGACCGTGAGATCATGACCTGAGCCAAAATCATACTTAACTGACTGAGCCACCCAGGTGCCCCTGGCTTAAGTATTTCTAAAATGTGTTTGTTTTTTTTTAATATGCAGAGGATATCAAATGTATTAAGCTACATCCTGATGCTATTGCAGACATCTAACACATTGACTTTGTTACTCAACAGGATGTACCCTTTATATTGTCTGGGCCACTCTCTACCGATGTGCCTTGGATATCATGATCTGGAACTCCGTATTCCTGGGTGTCAACATTTTGCATCTGTCATATCTTTTGTACAAGAAAAGACCGGTAATTACTAAAATTAATGTGGAGGAGATTTTAAAGGAAGAGATTTTTAAAGCCAAAAAGCTTTTAAAGTGCTTTGTTCAGACTTGAAAATGAACATTTAACATCTTTAATCCCCTTAGTATCATTTCTTCGATTGTGTTCGTATATGTCTGGAAGGGAAATATTTGAATCCCATGAACTTTGTTCTACAAATGAGTCTTTTTTAAAAGATGCATGTATTTATTTTAGAGAGAGAGAGCAGGCGGGAGGGGCAGAGGGGGAGAGTCTCAGGCAGACTCCTCACTCAGCAGAGGGCCCACACAGGGCTTCATCCCACAACCCCAAGGTCAAATCCAAGGGTCAGGTACTCAACCAACTCTGCTACCCAGACACCCCTACGAAAGAGTTTTTTAAAACTTTTTACATCATTAAGGCAACTTATACATGAGAGAACATTTTTTGTCATATAACTCATTATTTCTTTTGTCTATTGATTTTTAAATGTCACTTAGAAATATCTTTGCCCAGCTGTAAAATTAATTACTCATGGGCAACTTCCTTGAACATACTAATGATTTACAAATAGTTCCTGCTATTTTTTTGTAAATGTAATGACTTTATTTTTTTTCATTACATTATGCCCAAAATATTCATTTAAGAAAATCATCATTTTGGGAGGGTGTTGCCAAAACACTAATATTTAACTTTTTTCTCAACATCTTGTTGTGTTTCCTTGGTCATTCCAAGAACCAAAGATGTAAATAGGATAAGAAAGCAGTGTGGCTTCTAGAAATCACTCCCTACATTGTTTACTAATGGTTCAAAGTACACACAATTATTAAGTAAGGTAAAAGATCCGGCTCTTGTCCTCATGTTCAGTGCCAGACATGTGCACAGAAAACTATTAGAAAACAAGACATTTCACAGGAAATGATCGCTTGAATGATATAGATGATACAAGTAATAGGCATTCTACTAGAGTGTAACCTCAAACATTGCAACCCAGTCCATTTTGCTTACTGTATGAGTTCTCTCTAGGTTCCCCTGTGTCATAAACAACTTGAAAATCTCAGTGACAGGTCCTTTCTCTCACCCACCATATACGTGGACTCTAGCAATTGTGTGTCAGCTGTGATTCTGGGCTATGTCTTCATTCCAGGGTCTCTGCTGAAGCAGCAGCTTCTGTTGAGACATGTGTTCTCATGGCAGAGAAAAAAGTACAAGAGAACAACAAAGAAAGACCCGGTGTCTCTTAAAACTTCGGCACAGAAGGAACATACATCACTTTTACTCACACTCCATTGGCTAAAGCAAACAAAATGGGCAAGAGTGATAGTGTGGGAATGGGCTGGGGTAAGGGAATGGATAATCCTTTCACCAGGGATGGGAGAAGCAATTACTTGGAAATAACAGTATCATCTACCACCTTACTGTTGTTTTCTGAATTCCTGTCAGCCATGATTGTCACATAACAAGTGCTCAGAAAAACATTTGATGAGTGATAGCTTTCACAAGAAGAATTAAGAAGGCTTCATGAAGGAATTGGGACTTGAGCTAAGACTTGCAGAATGAGCAGATTATGAATTTCAGTCAATAGATTCAGTTCCTATGTTTATTACTAGGCCACATAGGCTAGAGTGTATCTCGAAAGTGAGACATATTTGTGAATAAACTATTTTAAACCCTCATTACTAGAACTCTGAGGTAGAGGAGGTAGATGGTAGTGATAATGAGGATTATAATTTCTATCAGAACTTGCTGGAGCCCCAAGCTCTGAACATAGGTTTAGAAGTTGCTGATGTGGTGATGGCAGTAGCATCAGGTAAAACACTCACACAGTATCTGTGTTTTTGTTTCTTCTTGTATTATAAGCCTACTTTCTTGAAAAATATCAATGCTGGTTCTTTGTTAAAATGAACAAGGCAAGAGCATCGCAAAGGCCGTAGTGACATCTGAGTGGCTATCATTATGTGGATCTATAAACTTTATAGTGTGGCTGTCGTGGATTTCATTGGGACAGATGATCTTTTGAACCCCAAAGTTCATTCACGTGCTCTCCAGTTTTCCAGGACTAATGCTGGGCCCCAGTATGGCGTGTGATCTGGGTCTTATCTAACGGCAGAGGTGATTCAGCCATTTTGCTTTCCCCTTCCTCCAACAGCCAGACTTAATTCGGCGGGCTCTTGTTCTACAGAATATTTTACTTTAAGAAGAAATTGCTGCACCAAACCTTTTACTCTCTTTGCTTGGCTTCAGAATAAATAAAGCAGAAGCAATGATCACAGCTGAGAATGTTCGTTTTCCTACTGTGATGCATTAAACAATACTTAAAATAGGCAAAATGCTTAATGCATGTATTTTCATAGATCTTTCCCAAGTTGATCCCTATTTTATGTGTCAATGTTTTGCAATAACATTGAAAGTTCACGAAGTTTATTTCTGTGAAACAAAATTGTTATAAAGACAAAATGGTTCCGTGTTATTTTAAGGAAATGCTAAGATTGGAAAGGTCTGTGTTGCGGTTAACATTCAGAACGTCCACAGCTGCTCTACAGTGCATGGGAAGAGATGTGATCAATAGTGCAAATCTTTTCCATATGCTCTTGGAGTTGTTTAACTGCAAAAGTGCCCTTTGAGCATCTAAGCTTATGCCACTGCTTCCTGTTGTGTATGAGTCCATTGAGCGAAATGCAGAAGGGCCATGGTGCGTGTTGCAGATCTGTGTCTTCTCAAACCCGTATCGAGATGGCAGAAGCCAGTGCTCCGCTGTGGCTGTGTTATGGCAGCATCTGGTCGTTGCTGCATTTCAGGTAAAGATTGAGAAGGAACTCAGTGGCATCTACCGCCGACTGTTCGAACCACTCCGTGTGCCTCCAGATCTGTTCAGAAGATTAACCGGCCAGTTTTGCATGATCCAAACCTTAAAAAAGGGCCAGACGTATGCTGCAGAGGATAAAACCTCAGTTGATGACCGTCTGAGTATCCTTCTGAAGGGGAAGTAAGTGTTCTCTGGAAATTGAAATTCCCAGTGGGCCTGGAGTCTTCTCGTGTCCCCCAAAGGAGGGAATGACTGGAAGGGAACAATGCAGATCTTCAGGTCACAGAGTTTGTTGGTGGTGAAATCCCATTTTACGACTGCATTTTAAAATAGTACAGAGCAACAGGTTAGAGTTACATAGAATTGACCGCGTGGAATCTTGTGGATGTTAGGATTTCCACCTGTGAACATTTTGAATCTTTATTGACCGTTTTTTTCTTTTTACCCTTTAAGTTAATGAGTCAACATTGAAGGAGGTTCAAGTTAGGCATTAAACTTCCAAGTGTGTGCTTGTTTCCCAAGTGATTTATTTTTTGAATATCACAAAAATATAACTTGTAGGAATATCAGCCTTCTGGGGAGAGAGTCAGTATATACTGTTTCGGCATAATTATTAATATCAATCCTTTCCTTCTCAAAAGTATCTGATTTTGAGTAATAAATTTATGGTTACTCTAGCTATATGGGTAGTGACAACCATGGGAAGGCACATGTCTGCTCAGTAGTGGAACCTGTTTTTTTTTTTTTTTCTTGTTGGTGAAGTTTATATTGAAGTAAATATTTATGCTTAGAATTATGTTTGTCTCCATGGAGTCTTTAAAACTTCAGTACAAAATGTCAACACATAAGATTAAAGACCGGAATGATATTTGTGAAATAGTATGTGTTATTAATATTAATTTCTGTTATCAGAATGAAGGTTTCCTATCGAGGACATTTTCTGCATAACATTTACCCCTGTGCCTTTATAGATTCTCCTGAATTTAGATCAACTCAGATGCACAAAGGTGAAAAATTCCAGGTATGTTTTGTCATGATTTTCAGAAGATTGGAACTAGTTCTTGTCTCATTTGAAATCCAAAAGATACTGATAGAAAAGTGATTTATTGAAAAAAGAGATTACCATATGGTGCATATAGCATGACCCCATTTTCATAAAACTTAAAAGAATAGTACCGCTACGTGCATAAAAAGAGGTCTAGAAAGATGGAAACTACTTTGACTGTAGTGTTAACACTGTTATTGCTGGGTTGTGAGTTTGGCTGCTTTTTTATTTTCTTCCTTTTGGTCTATTGGAATTTTTATAATTTTTTTATAGAAAACACCTAGTGCTTTGATTATGGGAAGAAAGGAAAATGCCAGTTGTAGATATTCAGTTGTTCCTAAAACATGTGATTGGTTACTTTTACTGGGAAAAAAACAGAAGCCGGCTTTGCCCTAGAGATCATCTTTAATTAATCCTTATGAAAAAACTAATGACTTCGCTCTTTATATTTAATGACTACTTTAAGGACAAAAGATGAAGTTCTTCATGGTTAAAAATCACTCCATTATGTGGCATTTTGTTTTGATTCTTTCTGTAAGTGTCCAGCCCTCCTATTTTGTTCCCCAGTTAACATAGGAGAGTAACCAAGAAAATGGGGGAGAGTTCCCTTTGGTCTCAGCCTCCAGGTAAACAGCAATAAGGAAATATCCTGAGAAGATCCTGAGCAGGAGTGTAAATGTGTGTAAGTAGGAAACGGAACAGAAGGGATGTTATCACCGCAGGGAGGAAATGTCAGTGTTTCTTGATGACACATCTTATTTCTCAGTCTCACTTTGGGCGACATACACTTTGGGAGGCCACATGGAGATAAAAGGGAAAACTGACAGACATACAGTTGAGTTTAATCGAGTTTATATGCAATGGTTGAGGCCCTGCCCCACTTCTATGCCACCTGAGTAACAGGTCTGAATAATTGTACAACCTGCGAAAGTTACGTGTATTTACTACAAGGTCTCATGTATGTTCATTGACAGGGAGTATCACTGTTCCCAAGCTGGCTGAGCTTGAGATACAGAAGTGGAAATTTCATGCTATATCATGGCTTCTCGAATTTACACTCTAACCTTGTGTTTGAGAGGGTCATCCATGCACCGAGACCTATGTTCTTACTGTGTCTTTCATCACCACCATCTACAAACTACTACAAGACCCCTCTTCCTCTCTCCTTCTTTGGCCTGCCCTCCTTACAATTTCTTCTTCAAAAGCCCATTTATCTTTTGCATCCATTTCTCTATGTAGAATAGCAAGGGACTTTACACAATAACTCAGTCTCTGTATAACCCCGAAGAGACTGGAATTTGGAGAGGGGAGTGAAAACGGACCCTCCTTTGTTTCTAGAAGCAGTGCTACCTGAGAGGTCAGGGATATGAACATGTGCTATCTTCTCCACTGGACATCAAATTATAGTTTAATTAAGTTAACAAAAAGGAAATCCGACCATGAGCTGGTTTCTTCTTGGGGACTAGGGATTGGGATTTGATAGTTGAGAAATGTTCCTGATAATTGCTGTGGAGATCCAAAATCATGACCAAGATCGAGGTACTGTAGCTAGGAAAGGATATTTATTCAGCCTTTCCAACACCAGCCATCTTTTGTTTGCACGGAGGTGGTGTGGCATCTTCTGATTGGCCAGTGGATAAACACCGCTTTAGCATCGCGGAACCTGTGTCCTGCACAGTTGGAACAGGCTCCCTCCAAGCAAACCCTTGGGAGAGCTTGTGTTTTGATTGTTTACAAAATGTTCCCATTGGCAGATACTCAGGAGTAAAAATAGCTGTTGCACATCTGGATAGAAGTATGCAGTGCCTCTTTCTGAAGCAAGCTCCCCAGGAAAACACGGAGCCTGCTCTGACGTCACCACCTGTGCCCATAGCAGGGGACATTTGACAGTCAGTGCCCACTCTCCTCCACCTACATGCCTGTACCTGCTACTTCACTTTTCTTTAATTCTGAACAATTCAAAGTGTTCTGACAAGGAGCTCCTACCTTTGAATTTTTATTTCTTTAAATTCCTCTTTGGTAGGGGTGCTAATGAATTAAGGAGTAGGGCGGAAAGAGAAAAGAAAGGGAAGTGGGCTCAGTGACTGCCTCTCAAGCTTGCACAGCAGATGTTGTCTGGGTGCACATGTGACCATTATGAGAGGCACACGGATAGAGCTGACAAACCGATTCAGAGCTGGAACTCACAGGTCCCGTTTTGGTCCTTACCCACCAAAGTTGCTGCTTAGAACTCTTGAGAGACTCTTGGGTATCTTTATTACAGAAGGCAGAAGTAGTCTTTTGTGTTTGGTTTCTTCTTCGTGCAGCTGTTTTATGTCAAGTGAGCTTTGCCCTTTTCACATTTATCTTTTATATTCTGTCTCCCACTGTTGCTCTCCCCTGGTCAGTTGCATATCCTGTGCTAAGAAGCCTGAAAACCAAAGCTTTATTGGTTTTAAGGGAAGAAGAACGTTTTGGAGATCCCAGCCCTCACGAAATCAATGAACACTAAATTTCCACCTGTATTTATAAGACTTTATTTATTTATTTGACAGAGGGAGAGATTACAAGTTGACAGAGAGGCAGGCAGAGAGAGAGAGAGAGGAAGGGAAGCAGGCTCCCTGCTGAGCAGAGAGCCCGACGCTGGGCTCGATCCCAGGACCCTGAGACCATGACCTGAGCCGAAAGCAGAGGCTTTAACCCACTGAGCCACCCAGGCACCCAAATTTTCACCTGTATTTAAACCGGACCTTATCTTAGTGTTAAGTAAATCTTTTGGCTAAGCTGTGAAGCCTGTTGATCTACCAGCTTTGACCCTGCTGTATTCTAGTGCTTAGGAGAACTCTAAGCATTGGTTGAACAGATGAGTCCTAGGAACTTTTCATGTTCCTGATGTGCGAAATGTTATAAAATACGTGAAGAAAAATAACAAATTCTCCCCTGAGGACTCTGAAGCAGTCATACTCTTGAACAGCTGTTTCCAATCCTGACACATGTGGCAATTCCCTGAGACACCCTTGTTCCTGTGTAATGTCTTCCCGTTCTGTGAGGGTGTAAAATCTAAAGGGAGGGACAGGCCTAATGCCTTGACGTAATCAAGGCAAACCTGACGCAAACACTTCGTCCCCTGCTCTCCCTGAAAGAAATCCTTTGGTATCTCCCATTGCCATGCTTGCTTTTATGTCTTCAATAAAATCCTTCCCCAGAACTGAAGCATGGCACTCTTGAGGTACCCTAATGACTTGACGAGTGAATTTATTTTACGGAAGCTTTAAAAATTCTTATATTGCTTTATAGAAATTCCTCATTAAAATATGTTTTACTTGGCTGTTGTGACAGGAAGTCATTAAACACAAATGTCTACTTGGCAGAAATGAAGCATTAGCCATCGTGTAAAATGACCTCCGTCAATATGCTAATAGCCACATACTTCCAATCAAATGCCCGCACTTAAGGACTTGCAAGATACTCACACAAACTGTAGGTATAACTTATTATTTGAATCCTGTTGTTAAATCTAAATTTAATAATAATTTGCACAGGTTTAAAGTATTTTTCAACCATCAATAAGATATGTATTTGCTAAGCAAACAATAGTATCAGAAGTATCTTTGCCTCTGAGAAAACTCGAGGTTGTTGGAATGGTTGAAAAGAAGTCAAATGCATTGTATGTCACCTAGGTACGGTTCCTTTTTCTTTTCCTGGATGACTTCCAGCTCCTCTAACTTCTTACGGCATCACACCTTACTTGTCCACAGATGACCTCTTTGCCAAACGGAGGAACCTCCAACTCCTAACCCTTTCTTCAGTGCTTGGTTACAGGGCTGTGCTGTAGTGAGTCCCAGTGCTCACCTTTCTTGAATTACTCCTGTGGAATATTATTCAGTGGCCTCATGTTTATTTACCCATCTCTTAGTATTTCTGGGAACTCCTCAGTACTGGCTCGAGCTTACACTTCTCTTTTTAAGAAAATTTTTTACGGGGGTGAGGGAGTCAGATGTCTTTACTTACTTCCTCCACTAGAATGTAGGCTTCATGACATTGTGTTCAACTGTTCTTTGTATGAGGAACTCTTGATGGACTCTGAGCTGACCTGGTGGTCACTTAGTCAAATTACTTTCAGTGTGATCCTGTTGCTGAATATTGGACACATTAGGTAGGGTTTGGCCTAGTGGGAAAAGATGTCTGGGTGGGAAGTCAGAAGTACTCAACTCCACCACTAGTCAACATGTGTTCATGAATACGTTTTTTGGTTCTTGTCATTTGGCATCTGAAAAATGAGGAAGACTATTACTTGCCTTATCTGAAAAGTAATTTTGAGGCACTTACTTACAGATGTTAAAAAACCTAAATGTTTAAAAGTGTGATAAATGTATAAACTGAGTGGCAGTGTGTGTAACTGTCATTCCCTGGAGTGTCTCTACCCTTGCCCCTGTTCTATATTTGTCAAAACATTTATTGTGTTTTGACATAATTGTCAATTATGACACCACCGAGGGTGTCATATTATCAGCTTCCTTCACTAGAGTGTAAGTTTCCCAGGGCAAGGCTCTTGTCCTCCTTATTCACATTGTAATTCAGTGCCTTTAACAGCGTCTAGTATAAAGTAAGTGCATGACGTGTGTTGAAAGAATGAGTAGAATTTCGTTTTTTATGGAGTCATAGAGCTGATGAAGCATTTCTTGAATCCAAATGTGTCTGGTTTTGGGGATTCCTGCCCTTAATAAAATAAGTACAAACTTTTTCCCCCAGGAATATTGACCCACTTTTTAAAGTAGCCAAACCCTGTAATTTGCTGAAGGTCAATTTTCGGCTATTAATATTAGTTGCGAAGCTGGGTTTTCCATTTTCTCTTTTAGTAGACGTGCATACCCCCTCGTCCTCAGAACTATGTTTAATTTTGTGACAAACCAAGGGGAAATGGTGCCTTTGGAAACATGTGCTCTGAGGCTCAGATAACAATTTCACGTTAATTAAAAAACCCTTTATGAATTTACCTGGACTGGCATTGGGCTTAACTCTGAGGATATAAACACGGACTTTGCCTTCAACAGTACTTGTGTTCATTTGTTACTTCCTTCGTATAATAAATGTGCACTAAGCACCACTCTGTGTTGGGAGCTGGGCGTTCAGACATGAAGTTGCACAGCCCCTGCCCTCAGAGTGCCTGGTGGAGACAGATGTGTCTCCAGATGAGTGGGCGTTCTGTGATTTCAGTGCCACATGGAGTTCAGCGGAAGAGTACTCCTTCATGACAGGGGACCTGCGTGCGAGGAAGGACTTCCTGACACGGAGCTGTGAGGGCATAACCCCTCACTCTGGAGAAAGAAGTTATTTGAAAAATCTCGAGCTCTGTGCGGTACAATTACAGGATTTTCCACTTTGCTGTGGAACAATGTTCTAGAAAAAGATATAGTCTCCCAATCCTGAGCTAACTGGGGGATCTCTGTGTGAGTCCCCAGTACCCTGGGGCTAGCCCTGAAAGGTCACACTCAAGAAATACCTGTGACAAAATGACCCAGAGGAGGACCCTCACTAGCCATATTCCTCAGTTAACAGCCTGGATTCTAAAACCAGTTCACAGGAGTCCGTTTTCTGCTTCTCCAGGATATGTTTGCAAGGTTGGCAAGGCAGAAGGTCTTTCATCTATAACTTGCCTCAGGGATCTTACCTCAGTACTGTTGCCTGAAGTCATATTCTTAAACCTCTGTTGTAATCATCAGGATGTACGGAAATATTTAACCATAAATTCTATGTCTAATTGGAACATTGACCTAGTACAGACTATTAGTTTTTTATGGAGTCATAGAGCTGATGATGCATTTCTTGAATCCAAATGTGTCTGGTTTTGGAGATTCCTGCCCTTAATATAATAAATAAGTACAAACTTTACTCCAGACCACACACCAGACCTCACACCAGACCTCACACCAGACCTCACAAAACAGAACAACAAAACTTGGAGAATTTGCTTTTGGTTTGTAAATTTCTTGATTTTAACCTGATTTTAAATATGATTTTATAATAGCTATAGAAGTTTGTGTGTCTAGATCTTGCTTTAACTTAATTAATATGAAAAATCATTGCTGTAGTAATATCCACTAAATTATTCTACTCTTCTTTTCCCCAAAATTATTGTACTCATCATTCATAAACATACTTTTTCCTTCCTATGTCTGTTTCTCGGACAGGTCACCATCGTTGCAGATGATAACTGCAGATTTTTATGCTGGTCAAGAGAAAGATTAACTTATTTTCTGGAATCAGAACCATTTCTATATGAAATATTTAGGTATCTTATAGGAAAAGACATTACAAATAAGCTCTACTCATTGAACGATCCCACCTTAAATGATAAAGTAAGTGGGTTTTTTTTTTAATGAGTGTGTTTGTTAAACAATGATGTATAGTGAAGTGTACCTCACTTTATGCAATACGTATTTTTCTGAATTTTCATTAATTCATCATATTTTAAGTAAAGCGGGGATGTCATTTCTCAAGAGGATGTCATTTCACATATTTTGTAATTATTATATTTGTCATCACCTAGTGAGGTGTCTCTAAATGTCAGGGACCTCCATTTGTGGTGATGTGGTGCTGGTCTCTCATGAAGAGTCTTTTAATCAATCTAAGGAAGACAGTACATGAGTTGGAGGAAGGGATGGGAGGTACAGGGGGCCAGGAGGGCAGGGTAGCTGAGGGGCTGCTGACTGGTCACTGCAGTGAGCAGGAAGTTGGCATTTTAACACTGGTGTCCTCCAGTTTGGGACATCCTCATGGTCAAGCCCCCTCCCAGAAAACCCATAAGTGACAAGACAGGGAGGGGAAGAATCCTGTGCCAGTGCAGTTAGGAATTTCAGAGCTGTAGGCATCTTCTCCAGGTTGCAATGTGATCTTCATTTCCCCACGTCTGCTTAGAAGGAAATTATAATGACCTCAGAAGAGAAATTGCAAAACATGGTTTCTGTGATAAGTACCCTTCTCCCAGAACTGTGCACACGGGCGTGTGCTCTCTTTAAGTTCTCTTGCCTAGGACCTTTATCAAATCAAGGTGGTGCTTATTACTTTTAGATTAACAAATAAGCCACTGAGTATATTACATTTTTGTAACATATGTGTAGTTACAGCTTATAATAAAAGTTATAGCTAACATTTATTGGCCACTTACTATGTACCTGGTAGTTCTTTATTTCAAGGAAAAAATAAATGCTGTTTACAGGGTATACATGACCTAAGTCCCAGAGATCTCAGAAATCTTAAACCTTTGCTTTGTAGAAGGCCAAAAAGCTGGAACACCAGCTTAGCCTGTGCACGCAGATCTCCATGCTGGAAATGAGGAACAGCATCGCCAGCTCCAGTGACAGCGACGATGGCTTACACCAGTTTCTTCGGGGCACTGCCAGCATGTCCTCTCTCTGTAAGTTATCCCGAACAGAGAATCCTCCAGGATTCCACTGGATGTCATTGGAAATAGACAAATGACAACTGTGATTGGAAAAATAGCTTTGCAAGTAACAGTTGGGCGACCTGAAGGTATCAACAAAAATAACAATTTTTTTTCTTGCTTTACCTTTTCCATGTTACACCTCAGCTAAAATCTAACATGAGAGCTCTTATTGCTTAGTCCAAATTTCAGAACTTGGTGGTTCGTTTCGCCGTGGACTCTCCTTCAATACTGGTTCCCTGGGATAACGTGAGAGAGTCCGTAGTGTTTGCTGGATACTCGGGTTTGTTGTTTTCATGATTTTTGTTCAAGTGAAAACCTAGACACCGCAATGTGTATAAATAAATAAATAAATAACACAAAATAACCCCTTTTATTGGTGCAGATTTTGTTGGCAAAATCAAATAGATTGATAGCACACTGTGGTAGTAAAGCAGCCAAGAAGCAGGAATTCTTGACTGTCGCTGTCTGGAGAGGATAGAGGTACAACCTCTATGGAAATAGGATATGTCTATTAAAATTTAATGTGCACAGGTTTTGACACAAAATTTCACTGCTAGAGTGTTACCCTATGAATATGCTCAATGGCAAATAATACCACATTAAGTGCTATTCATTCCAGCATTTTTCTACAATTGCAAAATTCTGGAGCAAACCAAAATATCCATCAGAAATAAAACTGATAAATAAATTTTTGATAAAAAAGAAAATGATAGGAAACAGAGTCTGAGTGTTTTACTGCTGACTGGTTATCTCAGTGTGAGCCCCAAGAGTTAGCAGGGGAGAAAAAAAAAGAGTTAACAGGGGATTGGGTACTGGGACGTTCCTGAAGATGAAGGAGACCACCCAACACCCAACATCCCCATGAGTTACCTCGTTCACACACAGCCACTGTGAGGCAGGTTTCCCAAGATTGTGCTATCGGTTAGATCATTTTAAAACATCTTAAGTAAAGAACATTTTAAGTCACAGATGTTGAAGATTAGTAAGTAATATGAGAGAAACTAAATTATTTTAATAATTATTCCAAGAATGGAAGTCTAAGAAGAACTTTGAACAAATTCATTTGAAATAGCAAAAAGACGAATTCTTCCATTGTATAAAACAAAAAACTATTAATGTTTCTAATTGTGTGTTAGTCCAAAGTAACTTTTAAGGAAATCCAGATACACCTTCAACAATACTAAATGCTTATGTAAATGATCTTGTATCTTTGGATGCTGTAGATAAATTGGGTTAAGGATGTTAAGAATCACATAGTGTAGAGGGGTTGGAATTGGCAAAGCCATGGAATCGGCATAAACTTCCAAAGAAAAGTCTAGGCAGATAAATGTGTTGTGGACCCAAAGGAGATTCACGATTTCACATTTCACAAATGAGAAATGGGAGATGGTTGTATCTTATTCTAACATAACTTTTGAAAGTACTGACTGAGGCTGACCAAACTCTACAATCTGATAGCATTATCAAATGCATTATCTGCTCTGTTGAAACAGTTTGGTGGTTAATAACCATTTTCAGGTGGATAATTGCATGTATCTTAATTGCGTGTATAGTGATTACTATACTAAGAAAGGTCAGCAGAAAGGGGATTTTTTTTTTAAGATTATTGTTTATTTATTTGACAGAGAAAGAGAGATTGCGCACAAGCAGGGTAAACAGCAGAGGGAGAGAGAGAAGCAGGCCCTCTGCTCAGCAGGAACCCCAATGCGTGGCTTGATCCCAGAACCTTGGGATCACGACCCGAGCAGAAGGCTGACACTTAAGCAACTGAGCCATCCAGGGGCCCCAAGTTGTTGTTGTTGTTTTTTTTTAATTGTATTTTATTGTATAAGCTAAATCTTTGGGAATAAGATAACATTTTAGAAAAAAAGTTTATCTAAAGTAGTTGTTTAAACAGAATAAAAACACATTTTCACGATTCACATTTGTACTGTTTGTGGCACCAGAAACCTATACTACCAGGTGGATTGATCACCCATGTGGTATTCAAATCTTGCACTAATGATTATTAGTTGTGGAACTAGTACATGTGGGTTTGAGTGTGGTGTGTGTGAATTACACAACAAAGCCCTGCTCATCCTTAATTCCCTTTCACTAATCTCTGTTCTGAGTTTCTTGCCTTCACTTCCTGCAGTTCAATGGAAGACATTGGTCCTTGAGCACCACACTGACACTAATTATGAATTCTTTCATTCATCCTCGCCTGTGAGTCATCAAAAACCAGTTAGTTCTGGTTTCTCTTTCTTAGGTTTCAGCTCAGAACTCCTGAAGTCTGGGTTTTTTGTTTGTGTTTTGTTTGCCAGACCCATCAATATGCTATCGACTTTCCCATATTACAGATAACATTTCTTTTTTTTTTTTTAAGATTTTATTTATTTATTTGACAGACAGAGTTCACAAGTAGGCAGAGAGGCAGGCAGAGAGAGAGGGAGGAAGCAGGGTCCCTGCTGAGCAGAGAGCCCAATGCGGATCTCAATTCCAGGACCCTGAGATCATGACCTGAGCCAAAGGCAGAGGCTTAACCCACTGAGCCACCCAGATGCCCCACAGATGACATTTGTTATAAAACAGAGAATACAGAACCAATCTCGTATGACTTCGGCTGAAATAACAAAATTTACCATTTTTGGAGCTCGTGGGAGGTCTTAGTAAATGTGAGTTTCCTCAAACGAGTGAGCTCTTATTTTGAGATTCTGACGGGCACAGGGGGCAACTACGGCCGCTCCTTTCAGCGGCAGAGGCAGCTTCACGACTGCTAAGGAGAGACGGGAACAAACATTTGTGGACGGTGGTAGCTATTGTTTTTTAGGATCTCTGGACATAATCACATGCGGTCTTTCCTCTAACCCCGCACGGAAAGGTACACTGGGTTTTTGCTAGATGACACAGCACTATTAGCCTCCCAGATCTCTGGCTGGGATGAAGGGGCTGCTTTCTGGTGCGTGTGCACCCAGGTGCTACTCCAGGCCCATGTCCTCCTCAGACTGGGATGCAAAGAGCAGCCACTGTTTGGATGACTGCCCTCCACGCAGGGGAAGTCAGTGACGGCAGAATCACGTGATGGCTCTGAAAGCTCCCACTTAGAAGTAGCACATGCGGGGCGCCTGGGTGGCTCAGTCCGTTAAGTGTCTTCCTTGGGCTCAAGTCATGATCTCCGGGTTCTGGGATCGAGCCCCGCATCGGGCTCCCTGCTCAGTGGAGGGTATGCTTCTCCCTCACCCTCTGCCCTTTCCCCGCCCCCACACTCGTGCTCTCTCACTCTGTCAAATAAATACATAAATAAAACCTTTTTAAAAAGAAGAAGTAGCGCGTGCGATCCAGCAGGGGCTGAGCAGAAAGGCCCCTGAGGCCGGAGGGAAAACAAGTGTTTTGACAGTAACTTGGGTCTAAGTATTACTTCATTTTACACCTGAGGAAATTAGGAATCTGGATGCTTACTCACTTGTTCCATTCACAGAGGGAGAGGCTCTGGGATACAGAGCTAGGTGTCCTGTCCAATCCATACCGTTTGACCGCATTGCCTCTCTGTTTTAAAAGGAAAAGACCAAAATATGTGTATAACACTTGACTGGCACTTTATAATTTACCCGTCACTTCTGCTCCCTTTCCTTCATCTACACCTGACGACTGTGCAGCAAGACACAGTCACTATTAGTATATCTATGCCTTTCCTGAAGGGGCCACCTGTCCTCAGTGAGAAGGCTGTGCTTACCCCCAAATCACTTCTTTCTCTGATAGTCTACCTCACTGGAGAAACCTACCCCCCACCAATTCCTCCATTATGACCAAGCGGTGCTGCAGATCGGTTTTCACAGACCCGTTGATTTCCATTTTGATGAAAATTTTTGCTTTCTTCATTGTATATGGGGTTCACCATAGGAACATTTAAATTATCCAGTGATGTCCTCCGGTCGTTTATTGTTGGGTTAGCTTTCATTTCGCCTCATATGTCCTTATAGAATTATAAGCAGTGCTGCTCTATAAAAATTACATTTATTTTGTATATTTATTGTATATTATATATTGTAATATTATATGTATATTTGATCAGCATGTACCCATTCCATTTGGTTGAAAATCTCTGAATCTCTGGGCTTCCCCTCCATATCTCTGTGTGTGTGTGTGTGTGTGTGTGTGTGTGTGTTTGCATTTTTGTTTTGTCTTGTCTTGTTTGTCCAACAGAATCTTGATTCTTAAATATAATTGTGAATATGAATCAAGTCTCCAATGAATATGAATTGGAAACTTTATTATAAATTCTGATGCAGAAGACTAGAATAGGGCCTGGCATCCCCCTGTTTAACCAGTGCTCCAGGTGTGCTAACGTGGCTGTCCCCTGAACCACTCTCTGAGCAGCGAGGGGTAGGGGTCCCTCCCTATAGTCTGGAATTTTGCTGAGTGCACCCCCATGATGGTTTCTTGTGTTTCCCATTCACTGGTAGATAGATCTCTGGGCCTGTGTAGATTCTGGTGAAAGCATGAAAAAACATGGATGCTGATCCCACTTTTTTACATTGAGCTCTATTTTTACATATATCACATAACCCTAAATCCAGAGCAAGATCTCTACTCTTTGCCATGCAGACTCTGTATTCCACATCAAATTATCATTTAAAGAGAAGAAAGTACTGAGATAGTCTGAGAAAAATTGCTTCCTTCCCATTTATTCAGTGGCCCGTAATCCACTCAGCTCCCTTTCAGTTTCCCGTGGTTTCATTTACTCGTTTAGTGTTTGGGAAGCATGATGGTGGGGCAGAAGGACCAGAAAGGACGAGCAGGGCAGGGCATGTGGGAAGGAGTGTGTGTCCTCACATGGCTACAAGCTCTCTTCTCTCTGCTCCTGCCCCGAGGGCCTCACCAGGCTGCCTTGCCATTTTCTCCTGCTTATGAGGTTTAGCTCCTACGTGTGATGCAGAAAACACAGATTGATCGGACTTGGCAGGTGCATCACTGACAAGTGGTGCGGGGCA